TTCGAATAATAGAGGGTGGATGTAAGTCTAATTCGAATTGAAAATTTTGTCGTAAATTCTCCGTTATTGCTCATGATGGCTGAACAAGAACCGGTCGGTTAATCGCGATTCTATTGTTTTTCTCTTCCTTTTTCCGAATTGTTCCCGTGTGACCTGGTTGGACCGTTGCTTTTGATGATTTACTGAGGTTGTTGTGATTTAGGGGATAGTGCTGATTGGATTGGCTTTGGGACACTTGTCAGATGTGTTGTGGAAGTTCGACGTGCTACTTTGATTCTGTTTGGATTCGTTGATCTAGTTACTTCTGGGTTGATTAGGTTTGGATAGAGTTTATAGTGCGTTTAGATTCATTTATCTGGCTATGATAGATTGAGCTGTAAGTTAAATTTAGAGACATTTCAGTATATGTATTTAAGGAATGATCCTACTCGAAAATCTAAATCGAAAATATAAAATGAAACTTTCACAGGAGATTTACTATAAATAATTAGCTAAGTTCATACGCTATTTAGCATAAGTAGAAATAATAAGTCACAAGCAGACACATCAGTCCTCTTTACTGAACAAGTCACGCTCAACAAACTTTCAATGTTCCTTATCTCCTATACTAATCATTCCATTGAAAAATATCCCACATTTTCCACTCAGTTCTTTATATAGGTCTATAGATCAGATCCTCGGTATAAGCGGTCGATTTTCAAAAGGCTCGCAGGAAACGCGACACGCTCTCGCGAGAACGCGCGAGCCGGTTCCTCGAAGCGAACGAGGCGAGTATTCCTCGCACGGTCTATCAATATCCGCTGCGTTCCCGGTCGGCGTAGAGGGGGACGATTGCAGCAGGAGCCCGCTGCAAGATATACGGTTACGAGTGAAACGTGAGCGCGGCGAAGGTCAAGGTGAATTCCCGGCGACTCGCCGAGAAATTCGCCGGTTCCTTTCGGGCCCATTGTTCGTGGCAAGCCGCCGGATCCGCTGATTATCTCCCCCTATCTCGCGCACCCATCGCGCGTCACGGGTCCGTGGCCAGTGTCTACCTTGCGGATCGAGGTGCGCTTTGTTCGCGGGTTCGAACGACGCGACAAGTCGGACATAGATGGCGGTGGAGGGAAGGGATGGCTTCGTGAAGATGTAGAATCAGTTTTTTCCTTTTTCTCTTTGAGAAATTGTGATGATGGATAGATCTTCTTGTGGGGATAGTAGTGGAGAATGAGACTATACTTGAATTACTTTTGAGATTGTATTGAAGATTTAGAATTATTTTGTTTTTAATTGTGAAGAGGGGTAAATCTTTTTGTTGGAATAATGGAGCGAAAGGATGGCTTTGCGAAGATGTAGAATAATTTTTTCCCTTTTTTTGGGGAAATTGTGATGAGAGATAGATTTTTTTGTGGGGATTGTAGTGGAGAAAGAGACTATACTATAGAATTACTTTTGAGACTGTATTGAAGATTTAGAATTATTTTGTTTTTAATTGTGAGGAGGGGTAAATGTTTTTGTTGGAATGGTAGTGAGGAGAAGGGGTGGCTTCGTGAAGATGTAGAATCAGTTTTTTTGAACTGAGAGAGATAAATTTTTTTGTTGGAATAATTAAGTTGATTAGAGGATTATTGAGAAATTTGAATGAATTCATCAATATTAATTCCAGAAGTATTCAGATAGAAGAATACAATATCAAAGTGGTCATATCATAAAAATTTCACTGTTTGAAGAAGTTTGACAAGATATACAGCAGTTTGCCGAAGTTTGCCGAACTTCACTGGACTTACTTCAAATCCCTCAAACTTTTTCCTAGAGAATATTTTATTAAAACATTCCCAAGTGAAACCAAGTTATTTTTGCGAACCAGAAACTTCGCGCTGACCGCGATGGCTTCCTAAAAGCACGCGGAATGAACAAAACGCACGGCGAGCTCTTAATAACAACGTAAAACTTCTCGGTTACGTCACAGAGGGCAAGAAACCGGAAATAATTCCCCGAGTATAAAGAACCGAAAAGAAAAGTAAAGTGTTTTAAAGGACTTAATTTGATTAAGAAGCCAGGAAATTTACTTCGCTGGTGGGATGTTTTCTATTCGGCCGGAATATTCGCGTTGGCGGTGAAAAAGGTGCACGAGGGTCTTAGAACATGAAAAAGCGAGAAAAAAAGGGGGACAGGTTCCGTGGGAAAAAGGGTTGATGGACGGAGATTCGAGGGAGTGTTGGGCATACGGTGGCGGAAATTTAGCATAAAATTACATAAGAATGGCGGGTGGTTAACGAGACGCGAACCGGCTGGACGGGATGGCGGGATGGCGGGATGCGCCGATTGTAATTCAAATCGCGACTTGGTATGTGGCTAGGTA